AAATTGGAGGGCTTATCCAGACCAATTCAACTTGCATGTTCAATAGTCTGAAAAAAATGCATGGGTTGTAAGATCAACTTTGCATAAAACTACTCAGGTTTGAGCAGAAAAGATATATGAAAACTAGACTAGGACTTTTGTATAGATGTTGACAATCAATGTCCCCAAATGGTGGATGTGAGCCACCAACTCCCCCAGCTTCTCTGATTTTCTGGCTTTGATTTCATTTCCCAAACCAAGTTGATGATAAATTCTGAAATTTGAAGATTTAGAAGGAAAAGAAAACTAAATCAAAATGTTATTTTTAAATGGTTAGTTTCACCTTTTTTGTGTCACATCCTAAAAGGATACTTGTGATTGGAACATTGCATTGAAGAGAAAATTAAGGAGAAAACCAAAAAGAATGAGATTCTACCATGTAAATGATACAAATGAAGAACAAGAACCAGTGAAATATAGTAGTGCTCAACAGAAAAAGAGGGGAGGAAAGAGAGTGTTGTCCGTTCTCTCGCAACCTAGTTTACCTACTCAATGAAAACTAGGATTACTATCCCATGTTACAGAAATTAATGTAGCATTGCATATGCCAATATATCTTCACAAAAGAATCTATGCATCCATATATTTCACATAAAAAATACTTGGCCACCCACAGATGAATGTCTTCATGTTTTTATTTTAATAAAGCAAGATAACAAAGATAAAAGATGAATTATGCAGAGAGCATATTCACTGAAAATTACAGGAGACTTGAGTGCAAATTTAACAAAGCCAAATATAAATTATGATAAAACTTTAAATAAATAGGTACTTCAGCAAACAAAATTATAACTTCCAAATAGGTTTACCTTGTAATTTTCCAATGCAAACCAACTATCAGGTGGGATGGTTCCAGAGTTATATTTTCCAGTCAAAACTCCTGATGCAAGTGGACTCCAAGTGGTAAGACCTAGACCATAGTTAGTGTACAGAGGGAGGTACTCAGACTCAACCTGCAGTATGGCAAAAATATGTCAGAATTATAGCCAAGTAATATGTATAATCAACCAAATCAAAATCCCAAAATTTAGAGGCAAAATATGCAGCTACAATAGCAAAAAGGAATATTATAGTGAGTCAAAAGCACCAATGACCAGGACTGCATCATGCAATAACAGAGGAACAAATGAAAAGATGAGAAGCAGAAACAAATGTCCCTATTCAAGCTATAGAAACTCAAAAAACTTATGCTTAATAACTTGTAAAGTTGGAAGCCAGTGTCATCCTATACTGAGATCATCCACCAATGCAAGCCGTTTATCTTTCCAAATGCTTCTTTTGATCCTTTTTTTCTTTTCAAAATTAACTTCTGAAAGCAAGTGCACTAGGTGGGAGCTCATATGCTCACCATGTCCTATTTTGGACAAATTAAAAAGAATGCGACATATATACCAAGTCTGGCCTTCCTTTCATATATAGTACAGATAGATATAAAATGTTTTCCACTTTTTCTAGCAAGTCAATTATATTGGTCAAAGTTAGTTGAGCCTAATTGATTCCATAAATACTTTGTGAGATTATCAGGAATCGTTTAGATCAAAGATTAATGTTAAATGTATATATAAGTGGATTGTTTGGTTAAGGTGTTTGCTCAGGATTGATTTACAGTCTGTGCCAACTTATTTGGGATGTATCTTTATTTTGTGAAATTTTCTCCTTAATCTTTATTGACTTTTGCATTGAGTTAATTAAGTTTTTTTCTATTAATCAATATATATAAACTAAGTGTTCTATTAATCAATATATATAAACTAAGTGTTCAATTAATCAATATATATAAACTAAGTGTTCATTTGATTTTCTTACCATTAGTTACAAATGTTGTTGGGGTTACATTAATAGATACATATACAAAATCCTAGAATCTATGTAGGCTCTAGAACGGCCGCAGGGGCGGGGTGGGATGGGGCGAGGGGAGTTCATTATGTCAATACTCAAAAATATATAAACTAAGTGTTCTATTAATCAATATTTATAAACTAAGTGTTCGTTTGATTTTCTTACCATTAGTTACAAATGTTGTTGGGCTTACATTAATAGATACACATATGAAATCCTAGAATTTATGTAGGCTCTAGAACGCCCGCGCGCGGGGAGGGGGGGTTGAGTTCATTATGTCAGTACTCAAATAATTGTAAAAAATAGTTGTCACCGTACATTTTAATTTTCAGTCGTTGAGTTTTAAGAAAAGTTAATTAAAATTATTGATTTTGAAATATGACCAAAGACCATTTTTATTAAAAAGAAAGTCACTATAATGAATCGTGATGAACACCACGTTGGATTATAACTAAATATCACAATGGGTTGTGACCAACTTTGATTTGACAATTTGTTAGCTTGCACTCCAATGACAATTTGTTTTGACAATTCTCTTCTGATAAAAAAACAAAAGAAGCATACAATAAACTTAACCCAATTCATTTGTCACTGCACATTCTGATTCTATTTTCATAGAAAGCATCATTTTTCACATGAACATATTTGACAGAAATGAATAAAATTGAAGTTTATTCCGTTTGATTACACATCAGATTTCACAAACTCAACCAAAATTTCAAATATATCTATATATATGGAGTCAAAACAATTACCAAATCAAACAAACATTACAAACAAAAGCCATTCATATCATCTTTTCCTAAATTTAGAATCCAACCACTCCAAGTGAGTTCACAAACATGAAATGGGCATTTTGAAGAATGGGAAGCAAGAATCGATGCAGGAAATAGGGGTTAACAAAAGGGGATTTTGAAGAAGGGAATCAGAACAACTACCAAAGCAAACAAACATAAAAAACCTAAACCTAATATTTTCCTATTTTTATAAACCACCCCAGTGAGTTCACAAACGTGAAAAGGGCAGTTTCAAAGAAAGGGATTGCGGTCTAGGGTTTCATAGATTGGATATGGAGAAAGGGGGAGAGAAAAAAGTTGTAGAGAGAGAGAGACATACCTTCAGGCGAAGTCGAGGGTAGGTCGTGTTCGCAGGGATGGTCTTCGAGGGCGAAGAAGAGTGTCTGCGTGCTGTCTCAAAAACAGAGGGGTTTTAGGAAAAAAACTGAAGAAATTTGAAAAAAAGGAAACCGGTTGAAGAGGTTCTCAAGATTCCTAATCAAATTATTCAGTGGCTGAGATTAATTTGTGAAAATCTAATGGCTTAAAATAAATGTGTATATGATGTGCACATCTTATTGAGGTGCACATCTTAATATCTCCCTGTTTGTAATGGTACATACTTGTCATCTCCTTTTGGCTACATCTTGCAAGATGCTTATATAAAGGGGCATCAATTTTGTCAATTTTAAGGGGGTGTTTTGGAAATTTGGTTAAAAGTTAATTTTTTTACTCTTTTGACTTTTTGTGATTTTTTTGGCTAAAAAAACTAGCTTTTGTGTCCTTTTTAACTAAAAAAGTTAAAAAACTAAGAAGTTAGCTTTTTATGAAATTCTCAAAAACACCCATAAAATATCTCGTATGACCTGTCTTTGCAATAAGATGGCACATGGTCTAGTTCGCATGGCATGTTATACTACTAAAGCCTCGTTTGGCAAGTTAACATTTTAGTCAAAAAGTCAAAAAATTACTTTAAAAAGTCAAAATATCTATAACCTATACAAAAAGTCAAAAATTTTATTTTTTCTATACTTTGTGCACATCTTTTCGTAAAAAGTCAAAAAGATACCCTGAACATACTAATTTTTTTATCTTATATTTTAGCAAAAAATTCAAAAAATTATTAAAATAGCATGTTTCCAAACGTGGCCTAAGCCATTTGTTTGGATTGAAGAAGTTCCTTATTATGTGTTTGGCAAGGGCTTTTTCAGGCTTTTTTGGCTATTTTAGCCACAAAAAACAAAATAGGCTATTTTAGCCATAACAAACAAAACATCACATCCAACCCATAATCATTACATTCTTCTCTCACAAAAAAAGTCAAAAAAGTCAAAAAGCCAAAAAATCCTTCCCAAACCAAACTTTTTAGCTCAGACTAAAATAGCCAAAAAAGTCAAAAAACCAAAAAACCAAAAAGCCAACCCACTTCCCAAACGGAGGCTAGTCTCTTTTGCCGCTTGTTCTTGATGAAACTTTGCCTGTGTTTGGCAAGTGGGTTTGCAGGCTTTTTTGGCTATTTTAGCCACAAAAAACAAAATAGGCTATTTTAGCCATAACAAACAAAACATCACATCCAACCTATAATCATTACATTCTTCTCTCACAAAAAAACTCAAAAAAGCCAAAAAACCAAAAAGCCATTCCCAAACCAATCTTTTAAGCCCAGGCTAAAATAGCCAAAAAAGCCAAAAAGCCAAAAAGCCAACCCACTTCCCAAACCAAGCCTTTGTTGTTTGGTTTGATTTGGTAATACAATCTTAAAATTTAAATAATAATAATAATAATAAATAATAAAAAATAAATAAAAAAAAAAAACTAGACAAAAAGAATGTAAATAAAATACACAAATTGGTGCTCAATGCTAATTGGGAAATTTATTTGGTAATCCCCGCAGTATACGCTATTGGTACTCCTGCTTCAGCAAAGTGGGAGCATTGGGTGGGTAAACGACGTCGGACTTGGGGCAATAAAGCCCGAAAGTTGGGCAACTCAAAAAAAAAACATGACCACAATCAGAGCGGAAGGCCTGAATTGCGTTGTTGTCACTCTCACAACAAAAACTGAACCTCTCTCTCTCTCCTCTCTCTTCTCTTTCTCTCTCTACATATACCACAGAGCAAGAGCAAGCATGTCTTCAGTCTCGTCCTTCGCCGCCATTTCCAGTCCTCCCTCTTCTCTCAACAGAGCTTCGTTCGCTTCTCGCCTTTCCTCGCCTTTTCCATTTCGTCACAACACTCGGTTCTCTCTCTCCCTCTCTCTCTCTCTCTCTGCATATCTGTCTCTGTTATGTTCTTCTGAGACGTCGGACTTGGGGCAATAAAGCCCGAAAGTTGGGCAACTAAAAAAAACATGACCACAATCAGAGCGGAAGGCCTGAATTGCGTTGTTGTCACTCTCACAACAAGAACTGAACCTCTCTCTCTCTCCTCTCTCTTCTCTTTCTCTCTCTACATATACCACAGAGCAAGAGCAAGCATGTCTTCAGTCTCGTCCTTCGCCGCCATTTCCAGTCCTCCCTCTTCTCTCAACAGAGCTTCGTTCGCTTCTCGCCTTTCCTCGCCTTTTCCATTTCGTCACAACACTCGGTTCTCTCTCTCCCTCTCTCTCTCTCTCTCTGCATATCTGTCTCTGTTATGTTCTTCTGATTCGTGTTTATTTTTTCTTCTTATTGAGCTTTAATTGATGTAATTTATTTGCTGCATTTCATTGCAAGTTTGTCTATGCTTATTTGATTTTTTTGCCCAGTATTTCATATGTTAATCACTAATCGAGAGAATTCGGTTACAATTGAATTACATTGAAAAATTTTAAGATTCAATTGATGAGAGAGAGAGAGAGAGGAGGTATTTCGAAATTCGAATCAGTGGCTTAGAAATTTGTTTATTTTTCGTAATTTATATAACTTGGTGAATTTCATTTAATTGAGTCAGCTTGACAGTAGTTATGGATGAAATTTGAATACAATCAAGAAAACAATATTGTTGGTGAACAACTTAGTGCATGGTGAGTAAGCACATTTAAATGCTTGCCCTAGTCAGTCTATATCATTTGAGTAGATATAATATTCCTTTTCTTTTTGTGTAGTGCTCTCTGAAATAGCCGGTGAATGATGCATGGTAGTTTTTAAATTATGTACAAAATTTTAGTTCAGTTTATAAATTCATTATAGGGTAAATTACAAATACTAAGCAGTTTATAAATTCATTATGTACATAAATTTTTGTAATACTAAGCAGTTGGCCTGTAGCAATGTTGAACTTTTTGTTTTGTCCACAGTTAACACCTCAGCTTTCCTACATTTTAGGGGATTAATATCACGTGGGCATTGTTTTAGTTAATTTCTGAAAGAAAAATGTTTGAGACCCACAAAAAATTTCCACAATTTGACCCACAATGCGGTAGTACAATAGGTTTCAACTTCTGATTACTTACACACTCAATGATATGATGCTTACCTTCCTTGCCAGATCATTGTGGGTCTCTAGCATTACTCTTTGTGGAATTAATTTAAGAATCCAATTCTACAAACTTGGCATGCTAATTGCAGTTTCTTTAGTGAGATGATAATATTTTTGTTCATAAATTTTTTATTTTTATTTTACCTTTATGAAGGAATAAATTGGAAGAAGATAGTAAAAGGAATTATTATAGGATGCTTTGGGTCATGATGAAAGTTATGTCAAACACTCAAATGAACAAACAGAAATTGGTTCACCTTCATTAATGCACTAATCACTTCTTATGTAAGTTTGTTATCCGTGATTGATGGGGCTATAAACATCATAATTTTCTGCTTTTTTGCAATACTTGGCAAAATTATCACTGTTGGTTTGTGTTATGATTGAAAAATGTCGTGTTGGTTGAGAAACTCATTTTCACATGCTGCTTTATGCTTGCAAAAAATGAAAAAAGGGAAGGAAAAGAGGGGTGACTTGGCAATTAGCATGTTTTTTTGTGTGTGTCTGGGAAACTGATTTGATTATGCTGAGTAAATGTTTCATTAATAAAGCATGCTGTATTTTTTGTTTGTGTTTTAAATTATTTTTTTTAATGTTTAAAATTTATACTAAACTTACTGTTTTATTGGTTGATTTGCATAATTGAAATTGTACACCAACTATTTTATGTCTCTGTGTGTGTGGGTTTGGTGCTATATTGGCCTGTTTCAGAATTAAGACAATGATGTTTGTGCAGGTTTGGTGTCAAATGCAGTTATGCTGAGGCAGGTGTCAAGGAGGATTCTAACTCCGGTACAATAGATGTTGTTGCTGATGTTAAGACTGAGAGGGTATGAAGTGTGGACTCACTTTGGTTTTTTTTAAGGTCGTCAACAATTTATGCAATTTAGCTAGTTTTAACTAATTTACTTATCTTAAATTACTTCTCTTAGTAGGTTGTGGTCTTAGGAGGCAGCGGTTTTGTTGGTTCTGCTATATGCAAGGCTGCAGTATCTAAGGGTATAGAGGCCATAAGCCTAAGCAGGTGCGGAAATGATTTATCATAACATCGTACATTCATAAATTTTGCTGTTTCTATTCACTATTTTTTTCCTATCATGCTATTATCCCATATGAAAATACTGTCTGAAGAAGTCTATGGCATTAAATTGCGTTTCCAAACTTCGGAATCTCAAACTTTGCTGAATGCTGGCAGGTCAGGGCGTCCCTCTTACTCAAGTTCATGGGTGGATCAGGTTACTTGGATGTCAGGCATGTTCATTTTTGTATCAATCTTCGTTGGGTTTTCAATGTAATCTTGAAAATCATTACATCGTATACAATTCATTGCATTATATACATTTTAATAATTTGACTGCAGTTGTTAATATGACAAACTGTAGGCAGTTCTAAATAGTATGTGGAGGGGGAACACAATTTTCTAATAGAAGGAATAACATCTGGAATGCAGATCAAGCTTCTTTTTAGTTTCTCTTCTACTTCTGGTTTTCAGTAATTTGAATGAAGATCATACGAAAGAACTCTGATTCTGATGCTTGGAAAATAAAAAAGTGTCCTTCTTACTTGCCCAATACTCATTGGACTATCTGAAGTAATTACTCAAGCAGCCAGCCAGGTTATCGTTGGTGGGTTTGGGGGTAGCTGGTTTCTAATGACTAATTATGGTTAGGGTCTGATTTATTGTTAGCAGGGCTATTGTAAAAGTTCATAGTGTAATTGACATATGAACTAAATTTGATGAACATTTTGTTGGGGTGTCATTCATGTAGAGGTAAACTTGTACATGACTTCCGTAGTTTATCCATTTTTTCTTTAAAAATGATAAGTTGGTTGTTTTGGAAATGAATTTTTGTATCACATAATCTGAATTATACTAAATTTAAAATGCGGAGATTTTAACTTTGCATGATTTCTGGTCTAGTTCCACAACACGTCAAAGGTAAAAAGGCCCGTATGTTGCTCATGGGGACCATATTGCAGGAGATGTTTTTTATGCAAACTGGGATGAAGTACTTGCTGGTGCTACTGCAGTGGTTTCAACACTTGGAGGTTTTGGTAGTGAAGAACAGATGCAAAGGATTAATGGTGAGGCTAATGTTGTTGCAGTTACCGCTGCTAAAGATTTTGGTAAGAAATTGTTGGTTTTAATTTCCAATTGAATTGTATTTTAAATTTCAGGATCTTAATTTCCTTTTTCTTTTTGCTTTTTATTACTTGTCTGGAAATATGTTCCTGCATACGTTGCCATAGAACAAAGTCGTGCATGGTGCCTTTTGTATACATATTTTTGTACATGTTTCCATTGGTGTTAGGAATTTAATATGTCATCAATTTGGTATTACCAGTTGGCTAGAACGCATTCCTTATAATAGCGCAATAAATGAATCAATCATGTTTCTAGGTGCACAGGTGCGTCTGTGTTTTATTTACATCAGGCATTTGAATATAGCAGTCATTAAGTATTGGAACACCATGAATCATAATCAAAGGTCGCAGCCATTCAACATGGATTAATTTGGAAAATTGATCCTATTCCTAACTGATTCTCTATCCGTACTATTTCATGTGTCATCCTTAGAAATTTAATTTCCATAATTAGGAAATAGCAATTACATTTTCCCATGGTATTTAACTACTGTGCATCCATGTATTCTTATTTTCTGAAGAGGAGAGAGAGGATGACTTGTTTATGTCAGATCTTTCATAGAAGAATATGGTAAAATGACCTTACTAAGGCCATTGTGAGTTTTTCTTCTTCCTCCTTTTTTGAACCCTATATTTAGTGGTGTTTTAGTTGCAGGCTTCCTTCTATTTTAGGTCTTGTCTTCTCGGTGATCAAACAGAGCCGTGAAGTTTTCAAAATGAGTATAATCATATACAAACATAGAAAGTATATATAAATTTGATACAGAATTATGTGGCTGAGTTGCTGCCCTATGCCGCCTATTACTTTAAAATAAAGAATTCATCAAGATGCATTTTAGTTACAAAAATGCCGCCACCGCATCATTATGGTGAGTGATTATATCTATAAAAAATTTGTAAGAATAAAGTTTTGCTTATAAACAATGGAAATCCTTTGACAAATTTATTTTTTTGGTAAAATATAATGAACATTGTTTTTGCTTGATAAGCCAAGAAGCTGCTTATTTTGGAGATCCCTAAATAATGAACATTGTTTTTGCTTGATAAGCCAAGAAGCTGCTTATTTTGGAGATCCCAAACAGATTATGTTGATATTTGTGAAGTATATCAAAATCATCATTTTGTTCATCTCTAATTTCTCCAACATGTCTCATTGAATATGAATAGTTGACGCGTTGATAATTCTATAAGAAGATGCAACGATTCCCTGACCGCTATATTTTCTTCCTTCCCTTCCCTTGCAGGAATTCCCAAGTTCATCTTGATTTCAGTGCACGATTATAATCTACCGTCATTTCTACTTTCATCTGGATACTTCACGGGAAAAAGGAAAGCGGAATCAGAGGTTCTCTCCAAATACCCAACTTCTGGTAATCGTAACATCCCATTTCAGATTTTGCTATTTTTTCAGCCAATATCCAAGATATTGATCAGGTCAAGTGGTGCATTATTGGCTTCAGTTATTATGTCTATGATACAGAAACAAGGATGGTCATTGGTAATTTTTTTTGGGCCAGACATATAACTATTTTGCAGTCATGTTCTTTAGCATTTATTGGTTGTTTCTTCGCAAGTTTCCAAACCCTATTTTTCAGAGGGTTACTCGGTCCATGTCTTGGCTAGAAAATAGGTTTCTTCAAGTTTTGTGTGGTTGGGCATCTGGGTAAGTGGATCCAGATTTGTTTTCTTTCTTAGATTTCAAAGATGATGTGATTGGTTAGGCGTTTCCTCATTTTGGGGCTCCGGTTCTGTATTCTTTAGCATCTTCTTTATGCTTTCAGTTTTATAAAGTTTTATTATTTATCACCAAAAAAAAAAAAAAAAAGGTTTCCAAACCCTATTTGCCAAAACACAACTACTTAGCTGGGTTAAGGTTCAAATAAGCTTCTTACCTGTCAACGCAACCACCTAGGAAAGTAATTTAAACAGTCCCGGAAGTTTGTTCAGAACAAATTGGTCAATGCACTTGGATCAACTATTTTGGCCGAGGATGTTTGATTCTCTTGAAACATGTGCACATACGAACACCATACTTCCCTATATTATATGTTCACATTCTTTAATTTATACTTGACAGGCGTTGTCTTAAGACCAGGTTTTATATATGGGAAAAGGCGGGTGGATGGCTTTGAGATCCCTCTGGATTTGATAGGAGGACCACTGGAGAGATTCCTGCAAGCCACTGAAAACTTCACCAAACCTTTGAGTTCTCTTCCGGGCTCTGATCTACTCTTGGCTCCACCTGTCAGTGTCGATGATGTTGCTTTTGCAGTAATAAACGCAATCACAGATGATGACTTCTTTGGCATTTTCACAATAGAGCAAATCAAGGAGGCTGCAGCCAAAGTGAGGGTGTGATATATAGACTGCAACATAGAAGCAACCATAATATATCTCAAGGTCAGGTTCAAGTAATATTCGTAGAAGTACATTCAGGTCTGTCTGTGATTTAAAACTCTTCGAATTGCTTATACAGATTGTTGAGGCAAACTTTTTGAAGCTGGCATTGACATTAGCTTAATACATTTAAAACCGTCTCCATATAGAAGCGGTGAGCACGCAAATTGGCATGTATGGGTGGTGAAACTCGTAAAACCTCTCATGGGCTCTGTGAATGTGAAGTACAGATGCTTGCAGATTAAAGATCTGCTATAGTTCTATTCATTGATAGCACTCTTGTAATGTACTGCATAATAGAACAAGTGAAAACATAAAAATAAAAATATTATTGTGCTTCATAATTAGCCAGTGCCTCGTAAAACAAAATTTCCATTCAAAAAACAAGTGCAGTCTTGTTTCGGTTCTCCTAGTCTCTTGCCCGTAGAATCCTAGGCCATGTAGTTTTGAAATTAAATTAATAATTTAACAGAATACATAATCACGTTTGATTAAGGAAATTTAAATTTGGACTAATCTGGATTGGTAAAATTGAATTTCAGGAGAGGTGGGATAAAAGGCCCTCATTTGGCTAGTTAACATTTTACTTAAGTCAAAAAATTAATAAAAATATCAAGAAATATCAAAAAACTTTGAACTCATAAACAAAAAAAATTGAAGATTCTTTTGCATTCACTTATTTTTTGCACATTTTTTCATAAAAATAAAAAAATTCTTGGAAAAATTGTAATTCAATGGTAATATCACAAATTATATGCAAATTCAACACTGCTTGTTTTGACGTAAAATGTTTTTTTTTTTATAAATATTTTGTTCATTTTTTGTTATTTGGTTGAACAAAAAATAAGAACATTTTTTAAGAAAAATATTTTTGCATCATTACTTTTAAAAATTCTGTAAGTCAATTTTTACAAAGTTGACTCACTATTTTTTCAATACATTTAACATTTTCAAATAAGTATTTTAGCTCATTAAAAGGTCATAAATGACACTTTGGCCTTGTTCCGGAAGTTTTCTAGGTGGCTGATTGATTTTTTGATTATTTTAACCTAACTTAAAAAGTTATGTTTGGAAAATTAGTTAACTTTTTTCTTAGTTGATTTAATGATTGTGATAAAAAAATATATATATATTATGAATTAAATATAACATTTTGTCTTATTGACTATTTTAGTTTATTTTGTCTTTTAATAAGTTATTTTAACTCAATCCTCTTCCCAAACAAAGCCTTTATTAAATCAAAATTTCTCTTTTAAAAAATAAAGTCTTTTTAATTTAAGTGTTGACCAAATACCAAAAAACAAAAAACAAAAAAAATTGGTAAAATATTTCACGTCAAAACAAATGGAGCATTCATGCAAACTATTTATAGCTTTAATTATTAAAATTGTTAAAATTTACCACCAATTTACACTGATTTGCAATTTTTCCCAAATTCTTTTCCATTCACCTTGTATTTTAGTCAAAAAAATCACTAAGAAATCAATACTCAAAAGAACCCACGATCAGATCTAAAGAGAGGTTTAGATTAATTGGCAAAATTAAATTGTGTGTTGAGAGAGTGAGAGAGAGAGAGAGATTAAGATGGTAAATCCGGATCCTTTGTCCAAGGGACCCCTTTTTCCAGGGAATCCTTCAAAGTACATGAACCTGCTGAGAAGCTTCGCATGAAACAAAACTACAAAAGCCTGTTGATCAAGTCATATTTCGACATCATTGTCCATTCATAAAAAGCAAAAGATCTAGATTTGAATTTTGTTTTTTATGCAATGGCCGTTGATCAAGTCATATTTAGACATCATCGTCCATTTATAAAAAGCAGAAGATCTAGATTTGTTTGTGCAAAGGCCATAACACACTCGATGGTTTCAATTTCCATATGCTGTAACAAAAAGCTTATGGGTGCATTGAACTCTTCATTGTGCATATGCACAGATGTAACAAACTCTTCATTATACGTATCGAACTCTTCATTGCCTCCGTTTGACAATGCAGTCGAATGCCTAGCTATGCCGTTTCTTTGCAATAGACTGCTCTGCAAGATACCTACATCATATCATATTGCACAGTGTTAACCCTCAACAACTTAAGTTAGAGATTATCAAGGAATCAAAGGCAATATCAGAACCATATATCAAGTGCAGCTCAGATCCATTGATGAAGAAGATCAAAAGTTGAATGAATTGGACATGGCAGAAAACTCAAATCCAGCAATACTGGCATAATCACATCATACTACAATGCCATGATTCAACCAAATTAGCTTCACCTAGTTTGATGAACCACATATATATATATATATATATATGAATATCATGTGAAGCGATATTTAATGTACATAATTATTTCATGTGAGTGCTTTTCAATTTGGTGGTCCGCTGATTCCCCAGCTCCCTTGCATATACAACCTTTTTTATTAACAAGTACAGTAATTGATTGATTTCTACCCTTTATATCACCATTGTTGATTAAATCATCCAAAGGCACATGCAGACATAAGTAAAATATTTGCTGTATATCAGATGAGATGGATAGTTGGCAGTTATCAAATTCAATTGCACGCCAACTTACTGAAATTTGAAATTATTGCCCAAGTTCAGAATTGCTTGTCAGAATCTTATCTAATTTATTTGAATCTGACCTTGAAAGAGATTCGTAACAACTAAACTTTGCAAAGTGATACATCAAAACATATACATATCTATCTATCTATACTACATGTATAAGCCAGATTTTGATATTAGCAGAAATGGATGCTTAATTTTAAAGAAAGTACATAAAGTTAAACTAGAAGAAATGGGCATGAATAACTTACTTGCCAGTGTAGAAGCCTGCCGAATACCAAGCATTAAAGACAACAGTAAGGTCTGTTTCACTTATGGCACTTTTTTCCAATTGTCCTTCATGCCTCTCTTCCCCTTTCTCTACAATCCATGAGAAATAAATGAAGTGATATAACAAGACATTAATAATTACATGTATCCCTATAGAGTTACACAAATGTACATATTATTGTTCAATTACTGAATTAACAAAGCCAGAGCAAAATGCAAAAACACCATGATCCAAGTAGTAAATATTCACAATTTTTATCAGAAATGAATCCATTAGGAAGAAGTTAGAAGTGACACCAACTGAATAGTAAGATAATAGAGAGGGAAAACTGCTTCAAATGGTATGGTTGAGTAGTGTGAGCCTTCAAGAGCCATATTCGCACAACCCGGCCTGTTCCAAAATTTCGGCCCTTACAGGATGATATGAGATTGTAGTTGCTGTATGGTTTTTTAGTTTTTCCTCTTTTATATACACAAATATACATGAGTTTTGATCTCTAGTGGCTACGGTGGAATATCTTTCACCATTCAAAAAATAAAATATCAGAATATTGTGATTCAAACCATAAAAGGATACAACCAGATGCACAAAAACAAAACAATGAAAAGGCTAATGTATTAAAGTCAAGAAAAATGCAACTGCAGTTATACGTTCAGGGCAAGTAACATAAAACTCAAGATGAAATGTACAAGAAAATAAAAAAAAGCATATCGTTTTAAAGGCAAAATTACATCTGTTACATTTAATTGGCACAAATCTAGGCAATCTCAATTATGTGGTGTACCCGAAGTACAGGTTGAACATGTACCCCATGGTATAAATTAAAAAGACCTAATTAAGTGTGGTATAAAGTCAAATAGAAACCACAAACCCCAGTGTTTGAATATAATTCCTCGTAAAATTTGATAAGACTGCTATATTAAGCATGGGCCAATAACTAAGAACTTTGCATGTTAATGAAAGTAAAATTTTGCTCACATTCATATATGCTAGAATTACCAGAAGTTTTTATCTTCAAGGAGGAAAGTGCACTTTCTGCAGCACCCAATGCTGTTTTGATAATATCGCCATTTTCAGAAGAAGTTAACTTTCCATTATGATCTATTCCTGAAGTTGCATCACAAGTTTTGCCAGCACAAGTGCCACCAAGAGAACATGGAGCCACCAGACACTGACAACCATATGGGCAATATGAAGAGACAACAGCTGGGTAAGAAGCTTGGCTTGTAGGGACTGGATGTTCCAGAGAAGCAGAGCTGGTACCCCACTGTACATTAGAACCAGAACCTTGGTAATCCCAACTGCCAAACTGCTGAAGTTGCTGCAGAATCTTTTGCCTCTGCTCCTCAAGCTCATAATATTGGTTCAGCAATTGAGTATAATCTCCTGCACCTTGTGTATTTGAATAGTGTTGGAGTGTATCTTGCGTGTGTTGTGCATATGACAAATCTACATTAGGTTCCTGGGTAAATGAGTCCACAACATGATTTGTTTTATTTTGCGGAAGATCATTAGTTTCTCCCAGCTCTGTTGTGGTATTTGATGCAACATTGTTGTTATCACCTGCCTGCGCATGTCTGCATACAATGGGTACATGAAAAAAACATAACTTAGCACACACCACATTTTACATATAATAAATAAATATATATATATAAAGGGTGACACAATGCACGAGAGGCTCCCACTCATGTAGGGTTTGGAGCAGAAAATGTTTTCTTTTTCCTTTTCTACTGAACACTAGCTTGCTAGACATCAAAAGCTGTATTCAAGTACTACTTTGTTAAGCTCAAGCGAAATCATTGTTCCAACAATCTTTCATATGAATTATAACACAAGGGCGGTCCCAATTCCGCTAAGTTGTGTGATATTCATGCATAAAAATCCCAGTTCAACATCAACCCTCCACTTTCTCCTTGCCAACTCCTGCCCCTTAAAAACCCTTCTATCTCTTTCCTTCCATAAATGCCACAAACAGGGAACAATAGACCCTTTCCACCAAACATCCCAACCTGGCATGCTTACACACGTGTGCACACACACACATACACATCTGCATACATTGAGAAAGAGATGGGAAACAAGATGTCCAAAATAAAATTCACTCGACAAGATCAACCATTATTGTTAACTTATATGAAGGGGCTCTGCAGATCATGGCTAACCTGTGAGGTGAGTTGCAAATTCCAATCCTTGGGCCAGCAACTAATCAAATCCTCTAAAAAGCCACTCTACGTGGCACAAAAATTCTACTTCCTCACCGAATGAGTGTCTTACAAAATTAGGAGATCACGGCACTAAACTCCCAGTCAAGATAAATGATTGCTTATAAAAAAAAATCCACATATGCAAGCAACATCACCAAACACAGGAACATGAATTTCTTGTAGTGGAAAGAGTTGCTTATCTTGCACATTTTAAGCTTCAAAGAATCCTATGCAGCAATGAATAACTATATCATTGTGTTTTGGATATTGAGAGTAATCTTTGATATCTTTAGTACTTACCATAACTTCCTAGAGGGCTCCACAACCAGCCCATTCACCCTCTGTCATCCACAACTACAAAAGAGTAACTAACTTTTATGTTACAAACTTAAGAACTCAACCGTCCACATCTACTTAAAGTAACTAATATTTCCTATAGTACAAGCTTAAGAACAAAGACAATTTATAACAAGACTTGAATTCCATGCTTGTCCATCGGCCAAACATTAATTTTTCCTATCTCAAACTTGAAAGAAGAAGCATAGATCAAGCAAGAAAAATGCTTCAATTTGGCTATATGCTGACCTTGCAGCATTGTGACTTCCAACAACAAGGGTTGATAAACTTTCTCCAGTGTTACACATACCCTTTTCCCCTTCCTTGGAACTATCATTCTGTCCTCTGCCATGCATTATCTAGAGAAAAGAAGAGAGGATGTCACAAAACTGATGGTAGCAACTAGAAATCAAGGTCAAGGGGATTATATTATATAAATAAGTGTCAGAATGCATAATTAATGTTTAATAAACATTAAAAAGCCAAACTTTATGCCCAAACGTTAATTTCAAGGGGTTTTTTTTTAAGATATTAACATCCACATTTCATTTTTACATTGCAAATCAAACCTTGCAAGATAAATTGTAATTTGAACCTAAAGTAGTTCATCCTTCCCCCTCCAATTATTACAAGAACACTGTATGAATTGTCATTTCCTTTTTTGTAAGGTCTATTAGAAAATAATCATACACATTCGGAAATCTAGGTATTAATCCTTGTGGTCACCTCATCTTAGTAATTTTCTTTGTCAAATGTGCAATGCAGTCCTTTCATACCAGAAGGGCATGAGAAGCTATCACATTGCAGATGCACCTTTCCCGGAGAGAGTTTGTTTGATTGTAACCTCCTAAATGCCCATGAGGTAACAAGACCCATCAAACATGTGTATCAAAGATAAACTAGCACATGATGTGTGTGTTTCTTGGTTACTTGAGGGGGACAAGATTCACGATAGGGATGATACAGGCTCTAATGACATCACAAGAGGGCACTGACCTATCCTGATGATCTTCACAAAGAAGTTTAAACTTGGAATAGAATCATGGAGGAGGGGGCTTGGAGTTTTCCAAGTACGTGGAGATGAGAGAATACCGTGTTACTACAGTGGAAGGTGTCATGCTCAAGATAACAATAGCTTTGAAGTTCAAAGTAAAGAAGTTCCATCACAAGGCAAGAAAATAATTCTACAATTTTAATATGAAATGCATATGAACAACAGTAAACCACCGATAGTAATTAAAAGCTAGTAACCAGCCATACCATAACTATCGTAAGGAAACAATTGAGCTCAATAGTGATGAAGATCTACGTAACTAAGTTTATAAGCCTTCTTATCGTGTTCTAATGTAAAAATAACCAAGAAAGTGGCAGTTTATTTAACAGTAGGTTGTTAACCTTACTGTACAGCATCCAAGCAAATCCTCTGCACCATTCTACGATTTTTAAATGAGTCCAAGGAACATTAGTAATTGGGAATCCGAATTCCTACATCAACCCATTGTCATCCTTAATTTTTGGTTTATCTCCAACAGTTGCACCACTGGGCCCTACTTCAAGACCATACAAATTGTATTAACTCAACTCAACTAAACAAGCTTTGTTTCAATTAATTGGGGTCGGCTACATGGATTTATTTCCTCTAATTGGTTCTATTCACAGTAATATACTCAGACCATACGAATCATATTAAGAATTTCAAAATTAAGTAAAATACAAAAGTCTCTTCAAGGTGGTATGTCACTCAAAATTGGCTTTATACGGAGAAGAATCTACCTTTATTCATGGGATATTTGAATAACTTCTTTTTTTTTTCTTCTTTAGCTTGAATAATTAATTTATCACTCGTAATCAATTGCGTCCTTGATCCTTGAAGAGCATTGAACAACTAAGTATCTAGTCATTTCTTGTGCTTTTCTATCACCTTTTCCCCACAACCCAAACATCAATCAAACCCTTATCTTATAATAACACATCCACTCCTAAATTCTCTTTTTTCTTGTCTCGCCACTCATTAACCCAACCACCTTCATTTCACTCAGTCTCACACTCACCATTAGAACAATTCAATTTCAATCATGCTACATCAATTAAGCAATAACAATACATGTGAACATGCATATATTCAAAAAAAATCTAAACCCTCATGTTACCTCATATAAAGGGGCTTCCATAAAACATGTTGATTTAGGTGAAATGGAAAGAATGAAACCCTAGAATTTCAGACTCTGCTAGTCCTAATCGAACAGCTATACTTTGAAAATGAAGCACAAAGAGAGAGAGAGAGAGAGAGAGAGAGAGAGAGGGAGAGAGAGAGAGTAACTTTGTACTTGGAGATGGCATCGTCGAAGGCGTTGAGGAGGGCGGAATCGTCCCAGAGATCGCCTTCCTTCTTCCCCATACACACTTCACAAGTACCAAGCAGCTCAGCTCCTTGGTTTATGCTTGATTGATAGTGGGCTTGGGATTGTTTGGTAGTGTATGGTTTTTGAAGGGTCATGTGGATTGCAGACACCGGTCATAAGGGCTATGCAAAATATCGCAAAATTAGTTAAAATTGTATCAATTCGTAATTATTTATACAGTAATATTAGGTATTATGAAAACCTTTCATAAAAACAATCATGAAAGTTTTGTGACCCTTAAATTATGCTTAGAATAAAGCACCACATACTAATTAAGGTAATACAATGATTATAAATCTTGCATGATCATTTTCATGAAAAAAAATTTATGATCCCTAACTTTTCTCTTATTTATATTATATTAATCGCTAATTAGAGTTTAAATTTTAAAATTTATAATTTGCTAATCAAATCGTTTCGATCTGCTATAATTAATGTGGAGATATATTTTCTAACTACCAACACGTGGCAAGATGACGCCGACGTGTCAGCCGAGGTGCCACGTGTCCTAGTCGTGACGCCGAGGTTATCTCCGAAGATATCGGAATCCGAGATAAACGGATAATGGACCAGAGCCCTAGAATGAAGAGGAGACTTAGTCAAGATGAGAATAAATCTCATAGGGAGTTTATCTTTATCTCTTGTGAAATCCAAAGTAAGCACTGAATGGGAGTCCATAGAAGTCAGGCTTCTAGTAGGATTAGGATTGAGTTGGCTATAAAAAAGAGGCACCCACATGGGTCTAAGGTATGCTTTTTATGTTTAAGCTTGTGAGTTTAGCACTTGATTATCTTTGAGAGATATACTGACTTGATCGTCGGAGTGCCTCCGGGTGGAAGAGCCACCGCCGGAGCCTTTTCTTTCTGTTACAGGTTAGCTGAAGCCATCTATTCTGCCAGTGCTTTTCCAGCTGATTACTAGGCGGGCAGTGTGGTCAGAAAATCACCCACACAATTCTCCGCTCCGCTCCATTATAGTTAATACATATATATTTTTTAACCTCTAATGAAATATCAATATAAAAATGAGTGTGAGAGATATTTAAGATATGAAATTTATTATAAATGAGTGGTTATATATATGAATCATATTATGTTAAATTACTTTGTGTTATATATTTAAAAAATATAATATAAATTAGTGTTATATATTATGCAAATGTATGATAATTAGTTAGAATATTCTTCAATCTGTCAATATGTCAAAAACTGCCTAAACCATAATTTGTCAATTCCCTAATCCGTCAATCTGCCAATCCGTCATTCAATTTATAATTTTACTCTCAATCCGTTCGAACCGTACTGCACACACCCCTATTGGTAATCTTGTAGAGTTATTTGACAAAGTTATTCACACCCAAAAAAATAATAATAATAAATAAAAAGAGATAAATTTAAAAATAAATAAATAATTTATAAGGTTTGAAACATATAAGAAAATTAATTTTTAATTTTTAATTTCATTAATTAATTTTTTTTTTACTTATCTTCAATTTAAATAATTTGTTTATTTTGTTTAGTGAAACTGTAGGAAAAGATATATTTTAATCATTAAAATCAATTGAAATAAATATTTAGATATTTTATGTACTTGTATATTGAATTTAATGTTTAAAATATACTTTTTCAACAAGTTCACTTAACAAAAATAAGCAGATGGGTTAGATTGAAAATAAATTAAAATTTTATAGTTTAAATTAGTGAAATTAAAAGCTCATTGTTTATTTTATTACGCGACTCAAATTTTGAAATTTTTTTATTTATAATTTTTCAAAAAAAAAAAAAATAGAGACAACTATAGTTAGAGTATCTCCAACACTAACTCTAATTTTTCATCAAATTTGAGTAAAGATTTGATAAAAAATTTCATTTGATGCCACATATTCTAATGCTGATTTTTCAAGTTTCATCAAACAATCGGTTAACTGGGAGATAATTGGTAGGACAACTGCCAATGGGCAACTTTGCAAGTAACTAGTTGTCTTGGAGGACAATCGGCTGATCATCCGATGTACAGTGAAGCTGTGACAACCCTCACTACTGTTTACTGATAACACCACTGATTACTGCTAAACTGAGACTGATTATGATAAGTAATTGAATTGATTGAAATTCTGAGTTAATTGATTGAGTGTGTTAGTTTAAATGCATGTCTATCTGTTTGCTGTTAAATTATCTGTTCATGTTTTATGTTTTAAACTGCAAATTGAAGGCCTTATCGGCGGCCGAATCTGAAATTGATTAGTGTTTTATGCTAATTGAAATTTATGTGATTTTATGGTATATTTAATTGAAATGTGATTTGGTATAATTAAATTGGATTAAATAGTGTTAAATCACATAAGTTAGACTTATTTACCCTTTTGCCACTTAGTGGCCTATCTCTGCAACACTTTGAGACTTGATTTTATATCATTTCATCAGCCCATTTCTTGAGCCTAACCGACTAGAGAGAGAGAGAGAGATAGGAGATAGAGTGATTTCATCTTATTTTGGTTTGGAGATTAAGAGAGTTGAAGGAAATTTGCATGATTGAGCTTCCATTCTTATAATTGAGGAACCTAGGTAAGGAATTTATCCTTATAACTGTGAATTAAATTAGTTCTTGCTTGGTTCATGGAAGTTTAGAGATTGAAGTCAAGTTGTGGTTTAGATTGTTGAATTGAAGCTTAAATAATGCATGCATGTGCATATCATGAAGTTTAGAGTTGTTTTCATGGAAATTCTTGCATGCATGTCCATATTTTTGTTATAGTCCATGAACTCACCATGTTTTGAAGTTAAATCTTGCATTTGATCTTGTTTTAGAACATTGGAGTTTCAAGGAACCCATGCATGTGTTGAATTTGCATTGTTCTTCATGTTCTTGAAATTTATTTGAAAATTGTGTTTAATTGAACTACCTGTGGGTTTTGATTTCTCAAATTGATCTTTGAAACATGTCATATTATGAGTTTGCAAGTGTTTTTCAGAAAATTAGCCCAAGAGGATCGAATTTGATGCTTTAAAGTTGAGTTTTGAGCTTGAGGTTCAAATCTGGAAATTCCAGATTTTGGACCCACGCTCGAGCGTAAACTCTGAATACATGAAGTTCGCTCGAGCGTAGAAAGTGACGCTCGAGCGTGAAATACATGTATCCAGCACTTTGCATGTGTTTACAGTCCGCTCGAGCGAGAGAGTTCACACTCGAGCGAGGATCGAGCGTGGATCGAGCGCCCGTCGAGCGTGATTTTTGTGCATCCAGTATTTTTACTGTAGCTTACAGTCCGCTCGAGTAACGGAAGTCACGCTCGAGCGGAGCTCCTTTGTCTGCATGTCCGCTCGAGCGTAGAAAGCCACGCTTGAGCGAGACCCCTGTTTCCTGAAAATTTTGAAAAGTGTTTTAAAGTACATATTTACATCCTCATTTTATCCTAGGCATTCCTAGGCCTAGTTTAAGGCATCTTAATAAGGATATTGATGTAGAACCACACCGAGACAAATTAGGGATTAAGTTATTATTTTCCCAACTGTATAGCTTAGTGTGTGTTCGTTCTGGAACTGTGTAGGGTTGGCATCCGAGGACGCATACTAGCTTATCTATAGCCCAGAACTCTGTGAGTAACAATATTGTAAATATATGTTCAATTGAGATTATTTTCTGAACAAATGACTGTACTGCTTTATGAAATGACACTGTTTACTGAATGAATGTTTGTCCTATTTGTGAATTGTATTCGTGGCATCCATAGCAATTTACTGTTACTGAACTGTTACTGAACTGTTACTGCTACTGTTACAGAGATCTCTGTCAGTGCCCACGTTTGGAACCATTACTGTTTACTGATATGATGGCCATCATTGACTGCTCGGTCTGTTAAGACCTACTGTACTATTTTGCTATTGGATGTACCACATATGACTATTATAGTTTCTGAATGACTGTTATGGCATGAATTATGAGCCACAAACCGAATGACTAATATACTGATGAATAATTGTTTTCAATACTAAAAGGACATTCATTCTTAACCTCTTTACGCATATGTTATTCACTGGACTTTAGCTCACTGTTTATATATATATGTAGGTGTCCAGGCACTAGATCGGAGCTAAAAGCGTTGGGTTAAACTCCATTTTTGTCAAGCCAACCACTGTGCCTCACTGCGAGGTTCCATGTACCGCCAAGCCAAGGCTGCTTCGGGGCGTTTTAGATTTTCCCCTTTCTGTCTCTGTATTGTATAGACTGTATAGACTCATATTGTACTGTTATGGTAGGGATTTGGTCCCTAACCCCAATGTTTGTATATATATGTATAGTATTGTTTGGTTCTGAATGTGAATATGTTTTAAAAAAGTCTTTTTGCGTACAGATTGTCACAGCTCATTGGACATTTTTTAATTACTTTTTTGGCTTCCGCCAACCTCTATACTCTATATTACTGTTTTACTGTTAAACAGCCTTCGGTAATCTCGGATTACTGGCCGGTTACGGTGCTAAACCCATAGAGGGCGAGTTTGGGTCATGACAGAAGCGCAACGGTTCTCTCTAAAAATTTGAGGATTGTTGAAGCTTCTGTCGATTTGATGAAACTTTTGTTTTTTTCCTCATTTGATATATGTTTGATGCCAAGATTGGAGGAGAAAAAGTAAACGTATTTCATCAAATTTAAATTTGATTCAAAATTTGAGTAAGCGTTGTAGACGCTCTATATGATCATATTATATTTACATTTAATAAAATAGATGATTTATTTTTAAAATAATATTTGACATTTATTTTTTTTAATACAGTAAATATGATAATATTATGTGCTTATAGTGTCTGATCAATTTAATTATTGATGTAGTTGACCTTCTCAAATAACTCAATAAAATTGAATCATTAAATTAAGGCTCCTGATACCACCAAGGGTGGTGGCCCAATGGTGAAGGCATTGCCTTCTCACAGTCATGAGTCAAGTTCGACTCCTAGGGGCACGAAAAAATCCTGAATTTTCCTGGCTCTACAGATGTAGTGATGACACCTCAGAACATCATTTTTCTCGATCAAAAGAAATAAATATATAAAATTAAGGCTCTTGATAAGCCATATAAAA